AAGAGATGTGAGAGACCTGGGGCAAAACAATGGGCAAACATTGCACCAAACTGATGGTGCCAAAAAAACTTGCAGCTGTAATTGTTACCAAGAGTGCTTCCACTATAGATTTTACTTCACAGGTCTGAATACTTATGCAGTCAATATATTTCAGTTTTTCTCTTTACTTTATGCCGACATTTCATGTTATTTATCTTACTCTTAGAGAATTTTCATTTTGAAATGAAGCAAGTTCAGGTTTTGTACAAGATTAATTTTGTGTATGTGCATCATTTTGTAATTTCAAATACAGTACTAGCACTGTACAATGAGAGGGCTCTGATCCCTAGATTTATAACCTGGCTTTGGGAAGAGACTGAAGATCAGCTTCTTGAATGAAGAACACAAAACAAAAGAAGTGTGAGAACACATTTGATCCTTCAGAAACAGAGACCCAGATTCTGTGCATTAGCAGTAAGATTTAAAAATCAATTCTAAGATTAAAAGGCAACCAGTGAAGCAGGAAAAATATATCCTATAACTGTGTAACACTGATTTAATCATTTCACGGCCATCGCTGTTTTGTACAATTTTGAGATTTGCCCTTTTTTTAAGTATGCCACTCTACTAATAAAAGGACTGTGATAATTCATTGTGGAACGTATAAATGAATGGATGTTTTTTGGCTCAACAAAATGGTACATTGAGCAAAGGGATGCATTTAAACAAGTGCAGACAATGTGTCATCAGGACTGGCATTGCTCACAGACAAAAAGCTTGAAGGGCTTTTTCTGCAGGATTAAAGGATGATTATACTCTGTTTTAGAAGGACAAGAAGTGCATCACTGCTTGAAACAAAGAACGGTAAAGGACTGTGTTAGCATGGTCATTGATTCTTAATGCTGCTGGCCTCAGTGTAGACCACCGACATAACTAGAACTAAATTTTCGTATTTGTTTATTCTTAAATTAACAATGGGATTAGGCCCTAATCAGAGGGACCCGTTGTGCAGGATTACAAAAACTAGATGTATTTTCCTTGATCTAGAAATGCTTCGAGAGATATGTTTTGGTTTGCAGTACTGTTTTAAGACTATCTTGTAAATATATACTGTATAAATCCAACCCTGTGTTTAGAGGTTTGAGGTCTGTACAGTGTAGAATGTAAAGACAAAAAGCAGTCTTCTGGGATAGCAAACCACATTTTTGTTCCACTATCAACTCAGAATAAAAGTAGGCCCTGTGCTTTTCCTATGCATTTTATGCTTCTTTTTCTCCCATTTATATAGACAAGCAAATAGAATTGTAATTGTAATATATTATTGCATTTTCTAACTTGTCAAGCTTCTGGTTTCTGCAGATCCCTATGTGAAAATCCACCTGATGCAGAATGGAAAGAGGCTCAAGAAAAAGAAGACGACAATCAAGAAGAATACTCTTAACCCTTACTACAACGAGTCCTTCAGCTTTGAAGTGCCATTTGAACAAATCCAGGTAAACTTTGGGTTCCAGTGCGGGAAATGTTCAGATTCTAAGTATGATAGATACTTGGGTGGCTCCAGGTTCTATAGTGATCAATGCAGACTGATTTTTCAAGGAGTGACACAGCACCTTCATTTTAATCTTTATTTTCAGGTTATTCCATGTTATAATAGGAATCAGGCATTCCATTGTAGTACAGCTCCAGACTAGTTTATGCCCCCTGTTGGCAAACCCCCCAGTTTAGTTCCCAAATAAAGCTGTCACAAACAAGTTACAAACAAGAGGAGGCCGATTGGTGTATCTAGCCCATATGGAAGTTATCAGCTTTTGATCCAAGAACCCATCCAATTGTTTGAAGGAAGCAAGGATATAGACTTCAACAATATGAATAGCCTGATCCATACATTGGGTTGACTTTGTCAAAGTCTTTGAGGATTGTGAGCACGTGTACAAGGTCTGCTCATAATCTCTATTTGAAACTAAGATAGTTCCGTTTCTTCAGTCTGTCAGTGTAGAACATTCCTTTAAGCCCTGGAATGTATCTGGTTGTTCTTGTTCATATTGAAACACAATATTCTAAATGAGGCTTCATTAGTGCATTACACAATGTGACATAATATCGCTTGATATAAATTCAATACTGTTAACTACAGTATGTGATATATTATTTTGTATTGTGTCTAATTTTGTTTTTTGTTTGCCTTTTTAATAGTATCCCCACATTCTCTATAAGATGCAAATTGTGTCAACATAAACACATAAGTCTATTTCATAAGTAACCTCTTTTCTCACTGTTTTGTAATTATAGGTTATGTTTTTACTTTTATGCTACAAGCACATGAAAGGTCCTGCACTTGTCTACATTAGACATCATCTGCCAGGTTTTTGCACAGTCTTGAATTTGATCTAAAATCGTTTAAAATTTCTATTCATGTTTCTACAGTGTCCTCCCAATCCTCCATATTGGTATCATCTGCAAACCTGCCTAGTTTACTAAATATAGCAAAATCTAGATCATTGACACAAGAATAACAGTGGTCTTCATACTGATTTCAGTGGTACTCCACTAATTACATTACCCTAAATTCAACCCCCAAACACCGTTAACACCCTGGGGAATCTTGTGTAGTGCCCAATAACTTGTTGCATTAAAGGCAGTCCTCATCTGCCCAGGACATACTGCCTTCTTATCAACTGTACCAGGTCTGCACCAGGCCATTATCTCTTTCTATATATATATCTCTTTCTATATAATCGGCACTACTCACAATCACTGATACTAATTACAAGGTGATGCTATTACTTAGTCTTTTCATTGAAATGTTCTGTTTTTTGATTCAGGACAATTTGAAAGTGCAACTTGCAAAAGGAAGTTGGTAGTATTCAGTACAATGTGCCTCGTATGCATGCACACTACTTACAAGACTCCTGACCTTGACACTACAATAATTAATCCAGTTCTGCATGACTTTATTGTTGGGTAAACTGAAAACAAATAAATCCAGTTGAATTATTCTAAAGGCTTAGTATTGAGGTTGAGACTTTAGCTTTTTTTTTTGTTCATTTTTTACGTTGTGACATCTAAACATTTAGGTGGTTTTCCGGTCAGATCATTAAGAAGGAATGTATTTCCTAAAAACTTGCTGAGCATTTTTTTGTAATTAAACAATATTTTAAGGGAACATTTATCAGTAAAATGGCTATCCCCACAATATCGCACAAAAACTCAGGTAGCAAACTGCTTGACAGGGTGCTGTAAACTGGTGTGAATGGTGGGAGTGGACAAACACACAGTAACGTTATCCATTTTATTCCATTGCTTGCCATTTTGTGCGACCCTTGTTTTTTTCAAGTGTAAACATTATTAGCCCTTATCATGAGTGAAAAGCTTGCATAAGTGATACTAGTGCTTCTGCAAATAAAAAATAAGAAAATCCTTCAAATAAGAAAAAGATACAAGTAAAGATATAATTCTGTATTTTTTATTTTCATATTATAATATACCCTTAACTGAGGCCAACCTTTTCCACCCTATTAAGGTAACGGGCCTATGCATACAGTCTGAAAGCCATGCAAATGTTTATGTACATACAAAGAATGATACTCTACATTCTTGCTAATATACTAATACACATATAAAAGCATGCTAACATATTTGTACACATGCAAACATATACTGTACATGAAAATAACAATAAAAATTAAATAAAGTTGTGAAATGATACAGTAGGTGAGAACACAGCCTCTCTTCCCTTTCCATTATTTTTAATTGTAACATTGTTTCTGCTTGGTGCACACGTTTTCACAAGTGTCAGTATTATTCAAGGAGTTACTGCAATTGGCTTAGATGTGAAATGTAAGTCATTCCCTTATCCAGCATCTGGATGATCTGCAAGAGGCTTCAGTATAATTTACAGACCATACTAGGCTTGGAAGTCATCTTGTAATTTAATATTTGGAAAACCCTTGACTTGATGCCGATTTTAATTTAGAATGAAAACCGGCAAGGAACACATTTTTGCTTTGTTTTGTGTTTTTCAATATTCATTTATGTGGCAGATTAAGTGTGTCTACCCAGACCAATCAGGGCATGCAAGAATGCAATGGACTGTATGCTTTTCATCCCGTTCATGGACTTAAATGTAATCAAAGCCAATAGTAATCTAATGTGTATGTCGTAAGGGGTTTGATGCATGGTTTACTAAAGAATTTTGAATTAATACATGCCAAGACCAAATCATTGAACTATGAGTAATTTGTTTTCTAGACATTTTCTCAACAGATTTTTTAACAGAGTACACAAGGATTTTTCAGGGTTTAGGAAAGACTATCAAGACACCAAGCCCACACATACATTCAAGTGGTTTTCTAAGCACTGAATATCTTAATATGGAAAACTACAGATTTAAAAATAATGCTCTCAGTAGTATTGCAACCTAATGGTCGTTCTCCTTAGTAACTGCTCATAATTTTCTGGAACAGTGTACATTAAAGACAATTGAAATATCAAATTGAACTTAACTAAAGCCTTGGATCTCCCCACTATGGGGTATTAATGGATTTTCTGTAGAAGTCCAGGAGTATCTGAGTCATGCCTCTTAAAATTAATCATTGCTCTTATTTGTATATACAGAAAAGGTCCCACTTCATTCACCATTGAATTGTAGCACCCATGTTGGTGATGCACAGCCGAAACACTACACAACAGATCAGGCAGAAAAAAAATCAGAAATTGCTTGGCAGGATCTTTAATGTCCAAGTTCTGGTCCACAGGGAAGAGTTGGAACATTTGCTTCACCAATATTACTTACACCAGAAACTGTCCTATCCCTGCAGGGATACTAGTGTAGTCATTGCTAGCCATGCTTAAATCTACTGTCTGAACAGAACAGACTAACAGGTGGTAAAACCTGAGCTCAGGAAAAATGTGTAAAATGTTCAATTTGAAAAATAACCACTGAGGTTTATGAACCTTAAAACTCCTAACCAACCTCCAACCTTGTAACGCTTTGAAACAATTACTCTTCTTTTGTAAAATTTAGTTTGTTTTAATCATCAATATGTGTGATTTTGTTTGATGTTTGATACTGTGTATAATAGTCTCCTTTAGAAGCTGGACAGATAGGCTGTTTATCATAAATCAAAGCAAAAGGCTTGGGTCAAAGTTCAGTCCAGGTTTTCCTTCAAACAAAGCGGATTGCTTTTGTACAGGTGTGTCAGTTCACCTGAGGCTCATGGCCTCTTTCAGTGGTTAAGGTTTCTGGGGCTTGTACAGTAGCTGCCAAAATGCTCTCCTGTTTATCTCCCTTATCCAACAGTTCGAGAAGTTACTACTCTATACAGATATTCTGCCTTACCATATCATGTACTAGCCAGTGTTCTTGAAAAAATAAAATTTTGCAGATGTTAACTTATCCATTTGAATACCATTTAATCCTACTTGGGGTCTCAAGTAACTGGAACATTTCCTGGAAACACAGAGAACAAGGTACTGAATCCTGGTGAACAGAGGGAAAGCATGCTGACGCCACAAAGAAATGACCCTTTCCTAGAACTCAACCTATACATAAGCCAAGATCTAACCCATTACATCATAAAAATGGCATTACAGCAACACCTACAGTACATCCATGTGCTAAATTCAACAGCTATGTTGTGTCTGAAGAGATATGTTGAAAAGTGCAAGTGTGCAAATGAGAATTTGTCTACAATTCATTAATTTGTATCTTAAAATTCATCATCAGTGATGCAGATGGACATGCTGAAAAACCATTATTTAAAGTGCATGTACAACACTTCTAAGATGACTGATATAATGATAATTTAGAAGGTGTCATCCTTTAATGTAAAGTACAGTATGTATTGCTTTGTAAAGTTAAGAAGAGCAAATATTTCACATAAACAAATCAAGAACAGCATTTACATGGTCTCTTGTGTGGCTTTGTATGGGTGCTTTCTTTGAGCAAAGGATGAGTTATTTCATCAGTTGACTATAATCCCAAGAAAAGATGCACAGCAGGAGATCTTTATGTCCTTGGATTGCAATGCTACAGTGGCTTCTGTGAGCCTTCTCAGACTCTTCTCCCCCTTAGTGTTAACAGTCTTGGATCTTGCATTACACCAAATGAGGATAGGTTCCATCCGGTGTGAGGTTAGCGAAAATAAAAAAAATAAACAAAAGGGTGGAAAAACCAAAGACAAAAAAATTTGCCAATTTGCACAGTGGCATTGAGTTGAGTTCTCATTTTGTTTTGGCATTGTGCTCCCTTTTCTTCCAGGCTGGACCCCGTAAGATAGGATAAGCCCAGTCTGGGACAAAGAACCGCTTGGCACAGCAGTATCCAGCCTGGACTTTACCCTATCTTACGGGGTCCAGCCTGGAAGAAAAGGGAGCACAATGCCCAAACAAAAAGAGAACTCAACCTGTCCCAGTGGAGCTACAGGCTGGGACAGGGGTGGTAAAGGCCAGCTGCCCTGGTGTGAGATGGGACAGGCGAAAGAAAATGAAAGAAAAACGCAGCCTTCCGTTTGCATCACAATCCCCTCTGGGACTGTCACTGGAAGGTTCTCCCCTTGCGGGGGTCTGCTCGTCCCTCTGGGGAGGTGCTCAGTGTCTCTTAAAGAGCCCCCACAGCTGCGGCTCATCCTTAATTAGCCAGGACAGCTGCGGTTGCTAAGGCAATGTGTCAGGGCCCCACCTCCACACTGAACACGCTCCCGCGTAATGCCACAGTAAAAGCAATAGTTATTATATACAGTTATTGTATGGTGTTTTGTTAGTGTTAGTCACAAATGTATTTGAAATTATATCAGTTAATAAGTTTATTTAATAGCCAGACCTCCTGGGAAAAACTAAGGTTTCTGCTGGAAGAGGTGTTAGTGGGGCCAGCAGGGGGCACTCACCCTGCGGTCCATGTGGGTCCTAATGCCCCAGTATGGTGACGGGGACACTATACTGTAAACAGGCGCC